AACTGAAATGTTGATAAAAATATCAGGTGAGTTTTGTAGCTTTTATGTTTAGTTATTCACTCTATATAATTAGGGATTGTAAATTATTCTGGTTTTTTTAAAGATATATGATCCATCGATTGAATGCAGTAATTACTGAGTTTGTTCAATCTCAATTAATTTACTGTCGATTACTAGCACACATGACATAGACATCACTCACACCACTAAATTGGAGTTCTATGAAAACTTGGAAGTGACCGGATGTGTATCTTCTCGACTCTACACTTCACCATAAATCCATAACACACTAAATACTATTTAGTTATCTTTCGGATAATACGGGTTCTTTTTATCAGTAGGAGTTGAGTTTCTCGTGATTAGAGTCAATTCGATGGACGAGCACTACACACTATTGTTTATGAGGAGAAAAATGAAACTATTCACGGATTGTTCAAAATTTACGAATAAACAAACTAGGACATTACATTGGGTGATGTAGTGAACGGTGTTTTAGAGCATTGTTGTACATCATCGATATACCACAGAATCCACTTCGACCTATCACTTTGAGACGCACATATCGGCTCATCTGCTGTTGTGAAGCAGGCTGGATAAGCTGGTTATTGAGAACATTACCTGACTCACCAATAATTGAATAACAAGGCACAGTTGGCAAATCTATCTATTCCGTAATATGTAGTTGACCATTACCACGTACTATAAAACGTATAACTTTAAATGTATGTACATATATATATATATCAGTATCAGAGAGATGTGTTTTCCTCATGTCCTCTCTTGTCATCTTCACTTTACATGCAATCTCACTCATCTTTGCTCATTACGTAGGAATATATTCTATTGAAATTCATTGGTCTCATCGAATTCACCACTTCTAATGCGATTAAATGATCAAACTCAATTGATTTCCATTGTTATAAAAATTAAAACATCAAATTGATCAATAACTGTTGACTTGTGTGGATAATAGTATGTTTTGTGAGTGGATAACAGTGGAATGCACGACGTGCCTTCATCCTATTTGTGTCTCATCAGTTGATACATTTAATTAGTTGAATGAAGGCCATTGACAATAACAATGGAAATCAATTGAGTTTGATCATTTAATCGCATTAGGAGTGGTGAATTCGATGAGACCAATGAATTTCAATAGAATATATTCCTACGTAATGAGCAAAGATGAGTGAGATTGCATGTAAAGTGAAGATGACAAGAGAGGACATGAGGAAAACACATCTCTCTGATACTGATATATATATATATGTACATACATTTAAAGTTATACGTTTTATAGTACGTGGTAATGGTCAACTACATATTACGGAATAGATAGATTTGCCAACTGTGCCTTGTTATTCAATTATTGGTGAGTCAGGTAATGTTCTCAATAACCAGCTTATCCAGCCTGCTTCACAACAGCAGATGAGCCGATATGTGCGTCTCAAAGTGATAGGTCGAAGTGGATTCTGTGGTATATCGATGATGTACAACAATGCTCTAAAACACCGTTCACTACATCACCCAATGTAATGTCCTAGTTTGTTTATTCGTAAATTTTGAACAATCCGTGAATAGTTTCATTTTTCTCCTCATAAACAATAGTGTGTAGTGCTCGTCCATCGAATTGACTCTAATCACGAGAAACTCAACTCCTACTGATAAAAAGAACCCGTATTATCCGAAAGATAACTAATAGTATTTAGTGTGTTATGGATTTATGGTGAAGTGTAGAGTCGAGAAGATACACATCCGGTCACTTCCAAGTTTTCATAGAACTCCAATTTAGTGGTGTGAGTGATGTCTATGTCATGTGTGCTAGTAATCGACAGTAAATTAATTGAGATTGAACAAACTCAGTAATTACTGCATTCAATCGATGGATCATATATCTTTAAAAAAACCAGAATAATTTACAATCCCTAATTATATAGAGTGAATAACTAAACATAAAAGCTACCAAAACTCACCTGATATTTTTATCAACATTTCAGTTTCATTGGAACAAAGAAACCGAAGTTTCAATATTGGCTAAATAAATTGAAATCAGCAACATCTGGAACCTATATCATGTGTGTAAACATCACTACACTCAGATATATGTTGATCAATATCCACATGCTATCTTCTCAATGATTCGGTACCGATCAACACACAGACTTCAAAGAAGCACGAGTAGTTACCCTCTTCTAAATTATAACGTCATTTGATCATGATAAATGATCACAAATATGTGAATTGTAGCTTAAATTACTGTTTTCAAAATGCACTCAAAAAACCTACTTTTTCAGCTTACAATAACATATACAGGTGTTTTGATTTAGGGCAAACCAGTGAACAACTGAAATCCTCTGAGAATCACTTTCCTAATTAAGAGTGATCACGAATACCTCGTGACATTTATGCGAATCAGTGCATATATGCTCAAATAACACATGTTCTAAGGGGAAAGGTTTTGATACGGTTTCTGATGTAAACATTCCCCTAACGGATCTGAAGATTTTTCTTAAACAGTGTTTTATAAGTGATAGTCAATGAGAATTGACTCGAATTTCTACTTGGTCAAGGTTAAATGTTCAGTATTATTTCTAAGAACACAGTTCTCATTATTCTTTATTTGTATTTGAATGCTTTATTCGAAAGCGACTGCTGGACGATCTGTCAAGATCCACTGATGCAGAATACAACTGATCTGATTCCATTTCTTATGTTGCTCTTGAAGAAGTGGATGCAAACGGGGACTAGTTGTATTTAGCAATATTTTTGTGTTGATGGACATTAGCATGATCCTGAACTGATGATGCTCACTGTTACCAATTCATTAGAAACCAATGATTTGTTTTTATAGTGCGAATCTCTCATTATCACTCCAAAGGAAATCAGTATATGGTAAAATCCACATCGGGAAGGCTGATTTTTCACTATTTATTTGAATATCTCCGAGTTCGTTCATTGCGAATTCACATTTATAAGCACTTCATTGGGAAATGTTTTTGTAAATCGCAAAATATAAATTGTCAATGTAGACGAACGTATAGAAATTCTAATAATTATTATATCACTAGATAAAGTATTCACGTTCAAGTGGAAATTTAGTCCAGTGAACTCCATATAGTTGGCTAATCGGTCCAAACATAAGTGAGAGGTAATGACAGAAATAAGATTTGTGTCACGATCCCATTTAGCGAAACAGATATCTGCATCTATGAATGAGCTGTGAATATGTTTTCCACCCGGTTACACAATGGAAGCTTCCTACTCACTTCTGTTTTTCTCACCCATGTTAGCTAGTTTGAGCGCGCATACAAAAACAGCATATATGAGTAGCAGAATCTGACGAACTGAGATTATACCAGAACCAAAGATAATTTATTGTTAATAGTAAGCAAACTGAATATACACTTTACTTTCAGGAATTATGACAACAGTGTCTCATTACTTACTAATGTTATAACTGTGGGAAATAAAATTAAAACCTAATTAAATCCAAAAAATGTTCTCCAAACAACAAAACTGTAATTATTCAAACGAAATTGAAATGCACAATCCTCAAGATGCAAAAATGTAGTTGAATATGAACCTTTGACAATTAGCACAACCCAAGATGAAGAAAAATTTTATCCATAAACTGTTTCATATATTCTGTTAATTTTAGTCCATTGAAATCAACATTATCTGTGATTAGTTTTCTAAATTCATTTGTAATTTTTAATTTCATATCCATTGGCATCTGATCAACGATCACCTGTACATCATTTCCAAGTACCCGTTGATTATCAGTGTAGGATGATAATGAATTTTCGGCTGATTTTAGTTGTGTACTTCTTTGTTGACGACTAAAACAAATGAGAGGAAAACAATTTTCCTAGAAACGAAGTAGTTCAACAAGTAGTACAACACAACTAATCAAACAATGGACGAATGTTGCGAATGATTTGTTCCGAACACAGAACGTGCAATGGTAGGCACTGTGCAAACTATAATTGATGAAAATGAAATAAATTCCGTTTCCTACGAAACACTTTGGCTAACCCCGATTGTACAACGGTGGTATGTAAAAGTCGATTATGGAATTTATCTAAAAGATTCTATTTCATGCATTCATGTAACGGAAGATAACCATGCAGGCGTATGAAAATGGTTTGTACCGTATTGCTTATTGAATTTTGTATCACAGCTTATATAGTTCAGACAGACAAGGTCGATATAGACAAGCTGACACAAATGAATACACATATTTTAAAAATGTAAATGAGTGAAAGAATACGATGAATTATTTATGAATACAAGCAATACAACAAGTGATATGACAACGACCTATGCTTAAGTCGCGTATGTATTCAACTCAGTGTTAGTCAACACAAGGTCTTGAATCTATATATCATTGTCAGTCGGTAACATGATTGTGAATCTGAATAGATGTTCGTTATGATCCAACAACATATGGGATTGTTGCACTTTTAATTTGTTTATTAACCCAATTCATATTTGAAACTATCTTATTCTGAGTGAACGACGTAGGTGAATAATTTGTCGAGGTAAATGTTGAATGGTCGGTTTGAGATTCGTGAAACTATGAGAACACCTAAATCCTAACTGAAGAATGATAAACGTCTTATACACATAATTGACTTGTTCACTCCCTTGCTCAGATGACTGAATCTGGAAAGAGATGATTACATGTACACAATATTAGGCATAGATTTAACTAATTCAGAAGAATAGACAGTATTAATCTGAGCACAAAGCAAATAATCTATTTTAAAATAAGATTATGATATTTTAAATTTTTAATTGAAGAAATTATTAATTTGAGATGTGTTCTATCTAGTGAGCTGGATATTTTGAGATTATGAAGCTTTGATTATCGTCGTAGAGAACATCATTGTCATTTCCCGATAGAAGTAATATCTTGACTAATGCAACATTAACTGAAAACATTCACGTGAATTTCGCATATTCACCATAATCCTTCCAACACGATTTGTGTAAATAGATAATATGTGAATATTTTTCAATGTGAGATACAAAAATAATAAAAAACTGGTTAATGACTTACACATCTCCAATATTTAATTGTAGATGTTCACAAATATCTTCTAGACTGAGACGATTAGTCTTTCTTAATTGAAATAACTTCATCCAATTCTAGTGGTAAATAATAGAATTCAGTAAAGATTAGTAGTCTATGAAAACGTTCAATGTTTGTTCACTTTCACAATCATAATTATGAACTAAAGGTTAATAGGACCGTAGTGATTATATATTGCTTTGACTTTGAGATGTACTCAAACTGCATAATGCACAATAGTTTCAATTAACAAGTGAAATAATTGATATAACTGGATAGTCTAGATCTCAGTTTACGTTATGAAGTGTTTTTTCATTTAATAACTCGATAATAGTGTATTCGCTGAGTGATCTACATGTGATGAGTGTTTCTCTCGCATTAGGTTGTGGACTCATAACTCAGACACATTTGTTCTCTCCAACATCCTTTCAAATTACAATTTCTCAATAACATTTCATCAATGATTTTCTGTATTCTACAAACCAAGATTTGTGCTCATTGATACCTTTCTTCAAAAATCATTGAACAAAGTTCAGTTTACTAGAAGCCAGTTCTAGGCATAGACCTATGTGAATTAACTTAGTGGTGATCACTCTCTTCAATATCATAGTTAATTTTATTCGAAGGATTAATTCCTGTATTATTCAACTAGCTGTTCAAGTATTCAACACTTTTTAAAACAATACATGATTTATGAGTAGTTGCAAACATTCATACATTAATAATGATTTATTCCAACTAACCTCAATTAGGTCATCATCTCGACGATTAGTTTCAAAATATCTCTTTAGTTGACCCTTTGTAATTTCTTCATCACGGTCTTTGTCGATTGCGAAGAATATTTCTAGAAATGCTTTCGATGTTGGTTTTGTGCTCTCTTGATCATCAAATTTTACAACCATGTTGAAGAATAATGACTGTGATAGTGTGGATTATACACACAGATTATATTTGATAGTTACTTACTTGATTTAATGTATATATACATAAACAGATATATACACGAAATTATCAATAGTTTAATTTCTAAACACATCATGACTAGAATTGTAGAATGTAATTTAACATTAAACAATAATTGTCACACTAGAAATAATCAGTTAATTTTGACAGCTTGGTATTTGAAAATATATCATTCAAATTGATTAAATACCTTTCACTACATTCTTGTGAATGACCTATTTAACATCAAAGTAGTAAACAATTAGTTTAGTAGTAGTTCCAATTATATTCGGGTGTAACCACTCAGTGACAATGCAGACAACACAATTATTCCATCGAAAATATTGTATATCATGTAGTTAATTTTTCTGAACGCCTTCTCACCTATCCATATTAATGCACATTCACTGCACTCATTGTTCATTGAGTGACTATCCAAATAATCCCTTTTCATACCAAGTGCTTTTTCTACCATTTAACATGGTTGTGTTCTTAGTTTAATCACCGTAATCCAACCGTCAATATATCTTTTAGAAAGTGTTTGTCGTTATGGTAGAAATATATCTAGAATGATAAACGAGATACGTTGTAAGAGTCATCAAAGTCCTACGGTGTTTCGACTTGTACAAATGATTGGTCACAGATTAGTGAACAATGTCATATTCGTCTCACCATTTAGTACAGGTACAGTTCCGTCACTCAAGTTGTAATGTGGTTACTGGTTTAATTGACTGAAGATCACGTTTACCATGTTGAGTTGTCAGGTGGTTTAAGTTAGTCGACAGGAAACGATTGATCTAGTTTCGATATCAGTTCACACTTATTGACAAATCACACGTGAACTCTTGAGTGGATGGGTTCTCCATATGATATTCGAATGCGCATCACTACATTATTGTTGTTGTATCGAAAATTTTACACTGGTATCAAAACCATGGATGTTAACACGCTCAATACATCAATTCACCGTCTATATATAAACCACTCACTGACCAATCCATTGATTATTGTTCACATTATTTTCTTGAAATCCCATTCTTCATGGATAACGATAGTATAACTCAGCAATGGTTATCTAACTCATGTCGACTCGCTGTTTCAAAAACACTCAGTTATCTCCACAAGCCATCTGTACAGATAAATGTTATAACTACGAACTGATTTGCTCATACGACTACGAAGATCTCTTGTAGTGGTGAGATGTTCACACCGATTTATCATATCATATCGTATCAAAAGTGTCAAAGCAATTGATTTTAATGCAGTCTACTTCCTGTTTGTAACTGTCAAATTCAAATATTTATAGTAACCAGTGCTCGTTAAAGCAGTAATGTCTGTCGAAGTTGGAAATTTCATTGCACAACATTCTGACATTCTGAGTGATATGCGCTGAGATTGTGTTTCGGATTCCACAGATTGACATATTAATATTGAAGCATTTGATGAGTTTCACTCTGAATAGAACGCTCAATCTAGACTGAACCGTTGTTCACTGTCAAGATTACGACCATTAAATATCATTATTATTATTATTTGAAGATAAACATTTGTACTAGGAGGCACCAAGTAGATATGCGCCGCATAAATCATTCGATTTGTGCGAGGGCTGTGATACTGCCCGTGTGCCAAGATCGAAACAGGTGGTATTCTCAGGGGACCACTCCCCGAGCCATTAAAACTGTAACTAGATTAAAAATGGTGGAGGCAATTTCAACAATCATTCGGTTGTGTTGGTAACGTCGACAATAGTTCAAAGAAGAGACAACGAATGAACTAGCTAGTAACATATCATTCTCAAAACACCAAATAATTCAAACGAAATTTGGCAACTCAAAGGTTTATAGTAGGTAAAGATGCAAGGATGTTTAAAGTATAATCAATGAGTGAATAGCCCACACGAATAACGTATGCACCAATATCTATGATGTCTGGGTCATTCTGATTAGCCATAATTACACAATTTCGATAGGCTATATTCTCTTGACAAATATGCTTTCTTAACTGGTCCGTATTTTTCTTGTAATCAGTGAAGATGACTGACTGAATCCTATATGAATACTTTCAATCAGTGATCAAAGACTATTATTTTAGCATGGAATCGAAGTATACCTGTGTAAAATAATGCAATTTGTTTGCGTTCCCTCCAATACATAATTTTCTCACTCATTGTTGTTGGTTGATTTTACTTTAAACATTACAAAACTGTTAAAACTCACGTTTTAACGTGAGATCATAAATGTATCCAGTGTGATGTTTAGTCAATGAAACATTCGTTCGCATTAATTCAGTATGATATTCATTCAGTGTAACCGACCAAACCTCGTCTAGTTTTGTTGCAGTGCCATTCTATTTCAGGTTTCATACTATCTCAGTTACTTAAGATACTTCCTGACTAATCATCCGATGTAGATAAAATCTATATACAGATGAGTGTATTTGTGTGGAGTGATTGGTGAATTTTTGGAGAGTGAAAGGAAACTCCATCAACGCCCGATCCGGATTACAATTGTCTGTTAAACTACATCATCTAGATTGTAGAAATCCCTAACAACATGACAATTATTTTGAACGTAGTGTTGATGTATTTGAATTTTATTTGCACTCAATTGTTAAGGATAGGAAAATGTGTACTTTATCGTGAATAAACTTTCGCGAAAATGTGTAGTCAGATAACAATGACGAGCGAAGAAAGGAATCATAATGTTCACAAAAGAAGTGAAGGTACACAATGACCAAGTGCTTGAGTGACTTTTGTATACTTTCTAGCATTTCGATGCTGTTCATGATATTCGGTAGTATTGATATGTTTCACAAATAAATTTATTAGGATGACCGTTTTTAATTTGCATGTACACCTTTCTGTATTTATATTGTCTATTAACTGATGTTTTATTCCTAGCAAATGCTAAGTGCATGATATGTTATCTACAGGGGACATTATGCAAACACCGTTTTCCGATTACGTGGTCTTAATTTACTATCTTAAATACTAACCTAAGTAGAAATTTGCTAATTGTGTACCGGATATACATATCGGTTGGACGTGTCTTGATGTGACAGAATCATTACTATAGTGTTTAACATAGAGAAAGCAAGATTTGCTGTCTGTTTATTTCTTCCATTATTGATAGTCCCAATAAATACGTCTGTGTTTGAGTTTGTTGATTACTAGCTGACAATGATGTACTCATTGCTTTTTGGGCACCCCAACAAAACTTCAGTATGACATTCATTCAGTGTAACCGACCAAACCTCGTCTTGTGTTGTTACAGTGCCATTCTATTTCAGTTACTTATGATATACAAATTCCCGACGTTCTTGTGTTCTATAAGAATTGTTCAGTCTGGTAATTATTTGGACTAATTATGACAGAATCCACTCTGTAAATGACAGGATGAACTCGCAAGTAATTGAGTGGTCGGTGGAGTTTGTGTAACAAATCGTCTTCGCAAGATTTGTGCATTGAAGAATCGATAAAGCACCACTGACGTACTTACTTACTTACTTACTTACTTACTTACTTACTTACTTACTTACTTACTTACTTACTTACTTACTTACTTACTTACTTACTTACTTACGCCTGTTACTCCCAATCGAGTATAAGCCGCCATTCAGCATTCTCCAACCCACTCTGTCCTGGGCCTTACTTTCTACTTCTATCCAATTCTTGTTCATTCTTCTCATGTCTGTCTCCATTTCTTGGTCTACGTGTTCTTCGGTGTTCCTCTCCTCCATTGGCCTTGAGGATTCCAAGTGAGGGCTTGTCTTGTGACGCAGTTGGGTGCTTTCCTCAATGTGTGTCCTATCCACTCCAAGCGCTTCTTCCTGATTTCTTCCTCCGCTGGGATCTAGTTTCTACTCTCTTACAGTAGGTTGTTGCAGATGGTGTCTGGTCAACGGATTCGAAGTATTTTGCGTAGACAACTGTTAATGAACACCTGTTTCTTCTGGATGATGGCTTTTGTAGTTCTCCAGGTTTCCGCCCATGCAGTAGAACTGTTTTGACATTTGTACTGATAATTCTGACCTTGATTTTGTTTGACAATTCTTTTGAGTTCCAGATGTTCTTCAGTTGTAAATATGCTGCTCTTGCTTCGCCGATATCTGAGAATCTTGGTTTTGTTTTTGTGTATGTTGAGACCTACTGCTGCTGAGGCTGCTGCTACACTGGTCGTCTTTTCCTACATGTGTTGTTGCGTGTGCGATAGGAGGGCCAGATCATCTGAGACGTCTAGATCGTCTAGCTGCATCCTAACTGTCCACTGTATCCGATGCTTGCCCTCAGATTTTGACGTGTTCATGATCCAGTCGATCACCAGGAGAAAGAGGAAGGGTGAGAGTAAGTAACCTTGCCTGATACAGGTCTTTACCTCGAACGAGTCTGTCAATTGTCCTCTATGCGCGATTTCGCAGTTTAGTCCATCATGATAGAGCACCAAGTAGTTTTAAAATGCATCACTTTTGATATTAGATTATACAATCAAGCTATACCACCACCCATATGTCCGAAACAATAAATCTCTATATGGTTTGCAGTATTGAAGTTCTAATTTCATAGCTGACACGACTTCCAAAGAACGTTTTATCGATAGCAGATCCATACTAGTTAATGGATATCGCTATTCTACTATTTTGTTCCCGTTGTAATCATATACATAAATATTTATCATGGGAAATTATTGATATAGTATGAATATGTACTGATCACTGTTATGTTGAATGAATGAAGTTCCATTCAGAATACTTCCAATCAAGTAAATCTATAAACAATACATGGTCGTTAGTTCAGCTTAAAATGAAATAACTAACAGTAAAAGAAGTATGTTGAAGTAAATTTTTCAAGTTATATTTCTATGCATGACACAAAGTCGTATGCTCAAGTTTCAATCTCACATACACATCAATATGACAGTTCAACAAAATAAATAAATTGTATACCGTGATGTGTGTGTTGTGATGTGATTAAACTGTGAAGGATTTAAAATAAAATAGTTTGGTGAACACTTAATAAAGTAAACGATAGTTTGACATTTGGGTCGATATATATATGTATATATATGCAGTTGGTTAAACAACAATATGGGTAAACAAAATTCAATTACGAATAAATACTCGTTACGTAACTGCAATTATCATAATTTTGTTGATTCAATGTCAATATTTAGGCGTGCGCCAAACTAAATAACACTTTTCTTTCAATCGAAATTGTAGAGATTGTTCAGGTAAATGTGAATACGATATCCAATATGAACCATCGATTATAACAACATGCCATGAAGGGTCGAATGTCTTATCAAGCCATTGTTTTATCATTTGTGTCATATCTTGACCTGATAAATTTTTATCTAACAGTGATCGAACAAATTCAAATATTTGGAATTGATCTTCTGGTGACATATTTTGGGAGATTATTTGTAAATCTTTCGGCAGTGGTCGGTTATTGACAACACTCTTCCGAAGAGTACGTCTGAAAAAAATGATAAAATGATGAATTACAATTTATACTTGTTTGACAGACAGTATTTTGTTGTTTGAGAGAACGAATCCCGAACCAACTCTACTGGTATATGAAGCTCCACTTTCCAATGTCGAATATGACGTGGGTTTAAGAGTTATTAGGCAACAGGTTCCCATTTGATACTTAGCTCAGTAATATATTCGTAGTTCACTTTAGATTATTCTTCACATGAAAATCCTATCGATAAATCCATATGGTAAATTGAAGCTTTGTTTCCATGTTTAAGTGACTCCTAATACAACTCAATATTAGTCGGGAAAGCAGCTGAATAAACAAGAGGGATAAGTTGACACAATGCTAGGAGCGAAGAAGTTTTCACGATGAAAAAGACACATCGTGGTTTATACTTTAATATTATTTGCTCGATAACACCAATTTCTCAGATTTTATTGAGGTGGCTCACAGTTTCCTGGCTTTAAGTTTAGGCTGCTTTCACTTCTAATCAGTCAAGTGGCGGTGATTAGCTCTAGTTAATTTTGTAATTTGTTGAACATGTTTATGGACTTGCATTTTATGTCATGTTACATGTATTGTTCACAAATTTCATCTGGACTTAATAAAAAGCAGAGAAATATTCTCATCATTAAATGTACTACACACAGAATCAAACATTTCACATAGTTAGTTTAATATACTTTAAACCGCATCCCTTCAAGTAAGTTCTTGTCAAAACTAGACGTAAGAAAATCCAAAATGACTAGACTCACGCTTGTTCCGGTTTTACACCGAGGACATCACAAAATTTTTGAAATGTTATAATACCAGTATTTGTTGGATCAAATAATGCTTGCCATCTCTGTTTGATTAAAATTTACAAAGGGAAGAAAAATACAAATAATTACATACGATAATTAAACCATCGCATTTTGCACATGCATGAATTTTCGTTTGAGATGTAAGAGTACTCTACATGCGATAATGTGTTAAGGGTTTATTTTGTCCAAAGTTAACACAATTAAGTTCAAAACACCTGAGAACTTAACATATTGTGTATTATGATTAGAAACTTTTAAAAATAAATCATCCCTTTTAAAATGATTGGATTTTTTTGTGTTAAAGTTTTTTTCTATTTACACTTTCCTATGAACAATTTAACTGTTATTTTTCTTTGTAGGAATTTGTTACTATGTATACATTGCATCAAATCTGTTCATTTATACAAGGATAATGGATACCTTCCTGTATTTTCTTTATTTTAATACATATTATTATCATTATTATTATAAATGAAATTGCTCCAAATGTTTAGTAACAGAAATGTTCAATAACAGATTTACATAAAGATGAATATGACATCACAGTAACTATTTAATTTATTATTATCTCTAAACCATTTCAATCATTTGTTAATATCAGTTTTTGAGGTTAATTATGTTATTCCTCAATCTTTATGTAAATAAATAAGACAGTATTAATTTCAAGACAATTTTGCCTTTTGTCATATACATAAAAATCAATATACCTGAAGGTGTATATTTTAGTCATATGTTGGATAGTCATAATGCAACAAGTAGGTTTATTCTAGGGATTACTGTCATTGTTAAAAGAATGCTTATGATATAATTCTTATTCATTATTTTGCAAGAGAATAAATCTTACATAATGAAATTTAAAGTAAATATTTAATTTCAAAACAAGATCAACATTTACATATTATGATAAATCATCTAAAACTGAATAAACCATATTGAATAAGCTAACCATTTTAATTGAGTACAACTGTAGTTCTTCAAACGCTTTTTACCTAGCAAATCTCTAGTGATTCTTTGATAACGTTATCAAAGTTTTTTCTACTTGTCTTCCTCGTTTAGGGACACCCTTGTTTATCACAGTGCTATATACTTTCAATTATTCCGCTACTTATACATGAAACCTTATTCTGAATGAGGATATAATTCTGATGTTCTGAACTTATAAAACTTAAGAAACTTCATCAACATCAGTATATATATAATTGCAAACAACATTAACAATTTACATTGTGCTGTAAGACTTGTTTCTCAATATTCCATGTTGTCGAAAAAGATAGCAAGACCTATACAACTGAGCTACCTTGCTCACTGAATTTAATACTACTAGAATATTTGCATTTTACGCTTAACTAAATTCTATTCTTGGTAAAAATGTCCAAGTTGTGGTTTAGAAATATCCAATCATCTATTATATACGTAAGTAATGATAGTTTGAGAATATCTTTATAACCTTATCACTTCATGAATCTATTCTGCAAATTTATATAATACTATTGACTGTAAAATGTTTCACAATTCTACAGATATAGCTTGGACTAGTTTCTTGACAATTTGAAAAGCAAGTATTTTCAAAACATTAATTATAAATAAAACAATTTTTTAGGAAACAAATCATCTACCGTTATCATCCCTTCATCCAGATGATTGTGCTTTACATAACGTCTCAATTCATCTCTTGTAATTGTCTCATTTTGTTGCTCATCTATCGCAAAAAATATATTAACAAATGGTTCCATTGAAGTTCGAAATGTGCATCAATTGTATATAATAGCTATATATATATCAAAACTAACGCTTTCACTGATTCGCAACTTACGTTCTTTCGATTATCGATTAACTTGAAACATATTCAACATGTAAGTAGCATTTACATATGAATGTAATATTTAATAGAAAATTAAAAGTAACCAATTGTGAAACATACATGTGCACATTACCGAATACTTTTGTTTAATCATTGTACCTAATCATTAATCACAAGAATGAGCTGATAAAATGAGTATTCAAAAGGGAGATTAATTTTGATGTGTACATGTGTGTAAATTGGGAGAAATTTTATAAATGACTTTCGAAGGATTTTATTATGAAATAATTTAGTTTGACTGTGGGTTTGTTTTTTTACCTTTCAAGAAGAAAATCCATTCCATATACGTTTATCATTATTATTAGCTTTATTCAATATTATATTGTTGGTTCAATATAGAATTATCAGTGCACAGTATTTCAACAAGTTTCCGTTTGGTATTTCTTGATCGATCCTGACGATAAATATTGATTGATGTTAGCAGTTTAAGAATTGACATTTGAATAATGTACATTCTTTATGACGTATATTGCCAGTAACTACAATGTCTCTGATTGTGTTGTTTCCTAATTTGTACAGCGAAACGTCGTGAACTTTTCACATAATTAACATAATTAACATAATTAATTGACATTGTCATCCGTTGAAACATGCAAAAGACAGATAACTTTATGATATTCCAATTATTCTGTTTACATTGCACAAAATTGTGTAACTTTTTAAACCTACTTGTCTCATCACAAAAACTGTAGCATTATATAAATTGCTTCTAATCTGCTTTTAATAATAAAAGTCAAATCTTTCACACTACAGAATAATATCACTTAAAGAGCCATTGTAAATCAGGGAGTAATGGACAACTTTTGAGTAATATATGCTTATCTACTAACTCAACAAACCTACAAACTTCCAGTCTACAAATCAGTATGATCAAATCGCTAGTATTTCTGACATTATACGCCGGAAAAGCAAGTAAAGTACTCATCATTATCTATTATAAATTGTCATAATCTTCCGTGTAACTTATTGAATTTTGAAATAACGATACGCTAATACCAACTTAGAAAACCCGGACGAAGATTTTACACTACTTATCAAGTCCTCAATAATTCGTTCTGGAGTCATTTAAGGTTGATCCTAAGACTGGCTATAATAACATTGTAGTGACAAAAAATCTTGTATGGGAGCTTTCAACAAACTTCCTATAAAATTAATTATATGCTTGGAAAACAAATATATGTATTTGTTTTATTATTTGTCAAATAAAGCAAATTGTATGCCATATGTGTTCGGATGAGATAAATAAGCAAGATTACATTTCTACTCAAAGTGTCAATTAATCAGCATTACTTATGTTTTAATTTGGTATGATAATTGCATGGGGTTAGCGTCCCCATCCCGTAGAAAAATAACTCGCTAAAAAAACGCTAACCAGAAAAATTTTTTTTAAAAAATGATAATTGGAGAGTGAACATAATCTCATCTGCCTTCTTCCTTGGGTTGTTCAAATCACATTTCTCCTTTAGTTATGACAGACGATGTTCGGAAGCCGATACTGATATACTATGTGCTCAACTCACTACTTGAGTGAGAACACAGTAGTGAGCGAGAAGAAATATTGGGCTATCAAATAAATGCACAAATACTCATTTATATCTGTACAACTCTACCCCTTTGAAAATTAATCCATTTTTAGACAATCAAATGCACTTGAACATCAGGTCACTTGTGATTGTTATCAACTGATCTCATTAGGCTAATTTTGATAGGCTCATCATATCACCTCTGTTTACAAAGCGGGTTTTCATAGTTATAATAAGATCACGATATCGAAACTGTTCACCTATACTTTAGCAAGTGTTTGTAAAAATCATTGATATATCAAATGACACAATCAATGTAGATCCTAAACTTTTATTTAATAACCTAAGATATTTAACCAGAAGTAATTGTCATCAAATGCTGAAGGTTTTAAAAAAGGAGAATATGTTGAGATCCCTCGACAATTCAAAAGGAGGTTCATAAGCTAGAAAATGCACATGATTTTCTGCTCATTCAGCTTACCCTACAAAAGCTGATAACATCTCATCCTGTTAGAATGTTTTACAGCGATTTCTAGGGAAATGACAGATTATCAGTGTTGATTACTTTCTCTGTCACTTAATTTGCTAAGTTTCCAGAAGTTTCTTGAGTTTAACGGTATCCCTAAACTCACAGACAAGTTTGGTTTTTGAAGATGAAAGAACCTTGACAGCCTGGCTGGAATCGATTCATGGTGTTGATTGACTTAAATGGATGTTGTTCTTTGTTAATAATACATTAGCTGATGTTCTTTAGACTGTGTAGAAAAATGCTCCTTAGAGTTTTAAAAACATATCTAGAGAAAATATGTGCCCGGATAATTTAAGTAATTAATTAGTAGTTCTTGGTTTATGGAGCGTTGTTGTTCATGTTCCTTCTCAACAATATGATGCTGGCCTACGATTTCAATGAGACTCCTGCTAAGCGAATACTTTATTATATGATGCAAAATTGCCGCTCAATCAATTAAACGTATCCAATAAAATCGAGCCTGAGTAATTACTAGTATATTCTTAAATTTTAATTATATGAGATAACTTTTCATCAATAGAAGAAAAATAAACGTTTTTTACCGGTTTAAAGTTATATAGTCTATTGAATTTTATTGAGATCACAAACCGATCTAGGCTGTACGATAATTGAAAACGTAGAGGTACTGTACTAGTGTTTTATCGTACAATATGGGACTCTTCGACAGAGCGCATTTGTAACCTCGCTCCTGGAAGTCAAACCTAGAGGTTTCGGTCTTGCAAAACGGTATTTCAGTTTCCTCAGGTCTCCAATGGTTCATGATCTTAACAAAACGTTTAATTATTTGTAACAAAAGCTTATGGAGATTGTTGAATTTTGTAGTTTACATATTTGGATAATCTTCATTAGAAAATCACTGACGACCAGGAAGAACTGGATATCTATTATTTCCAAATATGTAACGCTTCCTCAGTCGAGATTCATGCCCTTTCCATGTATTGAACCATGACCTCTCAGGTTTCGATAAGTTCACTTAACCAACAGTCTACTTATCTAGCATACAGTGGTAGATCATTGTTACTAACATTATTTTTTTTTAAAATAATTGTAACATGAACATAGAAGTAATAGATTGCAAACTTGATTGTTCGCGAAGCGAGATTGCTAAAATTCCTTCAGGATACATATTAAATTTACTCCTTTTTCATTTTTTTTCTTACTCACATTTCAATTATGTTACGCTACTCTACTTACTTATATTAAGTAGTCACAGTAATTTTCAAGAAATTGCATGGCAGCGCAAATTAAACTAATCGTAAGATTTGAAGGAGCAATTTTTTTACTTTGTCAGCTTTAAACTACTAGTAGTGTTCAAACATAACATAAATATTCCTTGAGAAGAAATGCACTTATCCATGGAAATGACTTGTTTCTAGATAAGTAGTTTCAGTGACAAACGTCCCGACGCACATATTTCTAAGAAGTGTTTTCAACACGTTTCTTGGAATCGAAGTTTACAATATTCATGTATGACGACAGCATTCATCTTTGATTTGTTTAATCCCATCTCACTTTATTTATATATGATGTGTTTCTACTACTGATAAACACGAAATGGCTGATACTCGGTTTTGTCAGTGTTTTCTGACATATAACGGATCTAAATTTGAAAAATGATTTTAAGAATCCCTTTAGGCGTTCAACTACTCACCAGTTGCTAATTTTTTCTCAGCGAGCAGAACAGTAATAGATAATAGGGGTAAAATATTTATCAAGGTCATAAAAGCTACCAATAACCTACAAAGAAGGTCAACTGGAAACCACAGTGGGTTATCTTCAAATTCGTCTTAGTACGTTAGACTGACTGATATATTAGCAACATTCAGTGATGGATACCCTTCCTTTCTGTGCCTATTTCATTCATGAAAAAAATAACTTTAAGAGCTATGTCCAATCTCACTTTCTATGGACTAATCGCACATCTTCAAATAGACCTATGGAGTCCAAATTAGCAGACGAAAACTCTATTTTCTGTAACAGAGTCCGAAGAAATGAACTGATTTTGATCGACTTGAAATATAATGTAAACATGTGTATGACATTACACATAATGACAAACGTTTTCTTCGAAAGTGATTTGTATGAATTTTTAGTCTAGCAAAATGTTACATAGTCAAGTGAATAGAATAATTCACTGACGACATCATGAATACAAACGCTTGCTTGGCTTCTGTAAACTCGCGCAACATGTAAAATGGTCATGATGTCTGTCCTGTTTTCAGCGAGTGGATATACCACTTCACAGTTCCTCTGTACTGGATAACGCTTTGGAAACAGGGTTTTCGGGAAAATATAATTTATGTATGTTGATATTACTTAAGAACAGAAAACTTTGGACCATCGCTTAACAGTAGTAGTGTAGTGAACAGAACACTGGTGAGGACAATCGAATGTATTCAACACAAAATTACAGGACTTGGTAATAAAATCTAACAATCATAAAAGTAAATGCTTAGTTTGCAAAATGTCCATCAGTTGTCTCATAATGACTCAGACTTCATTGTTCTTGCATTTTCATACAAATTGCATTCTGTTTCTATTCTTAACTGTTCGATCCTCTTGTCTCTCTGCTGCCAGACATTCTGTTCATGATTAACATCATCTACTACTTATGTCAATATAAGTAGCACACACCACAGTAGAAGCACTGAATGATCGATGTTGAAGTTAAGAGGACAGATCCGAGCATATTCGATTGGTCACTTAATGAGACCTCTAACAGTCATAGACTAAACTGAACATGACTTATGGTTAGTCCATCTAGCGAACATGCAATACAGGCTTTTGTAATAGAAAGTTAAACATAAGTCAAGAGATGTCGCATTTAGACATGATATTACTACACAAATCAGTGGTTGAAGGGTTCTGCCATAAAAGGAGTTACAAACTTCTTAGCTATGACCCAGTCCTGAAAGGACGAAGCCATAAACAGGGACGAATGAAAATCCATTCCTTGAAAATTTTTGTCTTCTCAGAAAGTTTCACTCCACGTTTTAATTTGTTTGTTTCCAACCGTTTCTTTTCAGATTTTTTTATCACTTTAATGACTTAATTTGCTGCTTTCCTAGTTATTATGATTCAGGTTACTGTTAAATGGTTTCATGTATAGTTTTGATTGATTCGAAGGTATGTTATTATTCACAATCAGAGGATGATTGCTTATAAACTTAACGATCACGTAATTTCTAACCATTAAGAAAACTTTTATCTCATTTAATCAAACAATGTTCTATTTCGTAATAATAATTGATTATTGGCATAAATAACCACAACATTATGTTATACTGTTATTGCGTCTTTGATTTTCAGTTTTTATTTTCTACATAGTCTTCGAAATGGTTTTGATGATTCATTTGCTATTATCTAACGTAATGTACATCCAAAAAATAAGTAAACTGTCCTTAACTTTATTATGTATTTCATGCAAATACATGCTTTTTTACAACGTTCAAACATTAAATGTCCAAAAAGTAGTATATATTTAAGAAAAGAATTTCCAGGTACGAGTCTTTTACAATACAGTTATCTACACCAATAACATTTAAAAATAACCAATGAAGCTTTGAGTGCTTAAACCTAAGTCATGTCCACATGGGTTATTCCGAACAGACCAGTTTATTCATTCTTCTTGAGTCATATTTTTTTTGCCATGACTGTTTTTATATGTATGTTTTGCTTACCCTGTTAATTGTATTTCTGTAACTTATTTTATCTGGTCACACTAGGTCAAATCGAGATGACAGACTTGCCTTCTGCGATCTGCTTCTTCGCTCCGTTTCTCTAATTGTCTGTCAGGGAAAACGAGTACATGAAATATGCGTATTCAGAATTCATTCTTACATTTGGTTTATTTTACTACCCTATTCACTAACGCAATTTAAGTCGATAATTATACACGTGGATAGTCAGGATGCATATTTCATTATCATCATCATACGATCAAATTTCTGTAATATCAGTGGATCATAAAAATTTATCATATCCATTATAATCTAATGCAGACTAAGCATCATGACCATGGAATATTTTACTCATGCTAATGCGAATAATATGGATGTGAAAGACCAGTTATCCCTACTGATTTCAAGTTGGAAATTCTGTAGAAATTTGTGGAAATCTTACAAAGTACCTTTGTTGAGGTTGTTAGGTCCCCAGAAAACACTTGAAAAAGGTCTTAATTTTGCAATTTTATCCTGAAAATTTGAATTTTATGTTTTTGCGCCAAGAGACGCTTAGTTGACCTACAGCTTACACTTTCCACTCGGAAATCCTTGACTGTCATTGGTTGACGGATTTCTTTAGTACGCTATTTTGTGGCTCTCCCAAGGTTGTTTCTATCATTGTATAAATAAGTTTGATTTGTGTGCTTAGCGACCTCGTATTTTCTGGGTGCTTGTAGAATACATTCTCTACGCCTCATCAAGACTTTTTGATCTAGTTAGCAGGGCTGGGGAGAGTCGATTACAATAGCCTATCGTGTCACTGTATTTTGACTTTCGTTCCGCTTACCAAGTAAGGTGAACTCGTTATAGCATTCAAGTATATCAAACTTACACATATAAGTAAAGTTTCCATAAAAGTTAAGAACTACCGATTACCATGTCAAATAGATATTTTGACTATTATTGTACCGTTACGTTTATTACAAAAAAAATGAATGAATTTTTTAAAATTATTATTAAATCAGCTTGAATAAATTCCCATTGTTTAGCTATTATTAAACGTTAATATCTATGTGGAATTTCATTAAATCCAATCCATGTGACCATGGAAAACTTAATCTGTCTATTTAAATTTATTATAAAGATTGATTTTATCTGTCAATGCTTTAAACTGTCAAAAGCCAAGTATTCATAGTTCTGAACTAATCAAAGTTATGCAAAAAAAACTGTTACTGTCTTTATTAAAGACAATGAATTTGTCAATATAAGAAGAACAGCAAACCGGTACAAATAAAATCTCAATTTAAGGAAAAAAACAAGTACAAAGAAATTTTTCGTCAATTAATTCCTTATTATTAAAAATATAATCGAAAAAACTGTTTAACTCAGTTGCTATTGATCAGGTGTATTCCATATTAAAAAGCATTTGTTTCGTAGTCGAAATTGAAATGATCGATTCTCTGAATGTGTATATGATGCACCATAATCTCCACGTATTACCACAACATGCCATATTGGACCATACACTTTATGTAGCCATAATTTCAAACTATGAGCAATTTCTTTATTATCAAGTTCATTAGGTGGAAATAATAAACGTCTAGCTTGATCACTTATTTGTATCTGATCGGTGATACTCATTTGTTGTGCAATAACATAGACATCAGATGGAAGTATATTGGTTGAACGTCTTTTAATTTCTTCCCTAACCTTTCGACTATATTCAAATAAACAGTGATGAAAAAATTCTGAATATAAAAGTATTCAATGTTCAACTACATCTTGAAAAACATGAATATATTCGTTGACTAAATTAGATAACATTTTTATAGTTAACAGATTAGATTTTTCATGTTAGAATGAGAATTAAATCAAAGATAATGACTTATAATAAAATATTGTCAGTAGACCTTAACAAATGGTCTTTAAAGGGAAATAAATCAGTAGCTACCTAACTTACTTTCAATTATTGATTATTATACTCAAATTTTATGAGGTTTGAATACATGATATTTTTTAAAAATCAACCATCTATTCATGTCATAGATTATTTAACAGATAGTTAATTATTAGTATAAGAGTTATGGAGATTATTAAGTTTTTGATTGAGATCATGAACCAATTGATGTGAAAAGCCATGATCAGTGGAGCTAATCCATGTCGGGTAGAAACAGATATCGCGCAGTTTCGTGAATGGTTGATGTTAGACACTAACACCATTGGATGCCGGCTCAGTGGTTCAATAGGTTAAGCGTTCGCGCGCGATACTAAAAGCCCTGGGTTCGGATCCCACGAGCGCGATCGTGAATGCGCACTACTGAGGAGTCCCATAAAAGGACCAAACAGCCGTCCAATCCTTCTAGGTTTCCAACGGTGGTCTAGCATCAATCGGTTCGTGATCTCGATCAAAAAGATAGTTAACTTAATGTTTAAAATGTTAATTATCATTTGTGCAATTTAGTGTTTTACCCAATCCCATTGTTTCATAAATGTCAATTAATGAAAGACTGTACGTTTTCCAGAAATTATTATCACTTAATGGTGAAATCTTCCGCTTATTATGTATATTCATTTCCAAATGTTGACTATCGTCAAATTGTGCATTTCAACTTTGGTATTTATAATCAATAAAACGCAATGTCAGATAATCAATAAATGACAATATTGCTTGTAGATTAATTCAATTTAGAAAACAAGTATAATTGACTACTTACTCAGTAGTCATATGATATCGTTAAAAAATCGTTAACCATGAAGATTTTAATTTTTGTAACCCAGGTCAAATGTCAGTGAAAAACTATCTGGCTAATTGTCTCCGGTGATTGGTGACTTTTAGCTGATATCTCAAAATGAAATTTACTTTCAGACAAGCCTCCTAATAATAAATCATTCACTTAATAGAAAGATATGATATTTGTAAATGTTATTTCCTATTTCCGATTCAGAACACTTACGCTTCTTCCATTTTTACTCCTAGTACATCGCAAAACTTTGCTAGTGTTATATAGCCAGTACGATTTGGATCAAATAATTTTCTCCAGCTCTATAGGTGATAAGAAAAATGAAATATATTGTCAGAGAAATTATATATGTAGTACAAGTATTAGTACTATCAACATATTATCATAGTATTATGCAAACGAATTCAATACTGACTTCCTAAAAAAGCAGTTAATGTACTGATTATATGTATGTATTCTCATTAAAACTAAATTGTTAGTAGAAAATTATACTTCCTTACTGATGACTTTGATGATATTGGATATCGCTAGGTTGAATATGATGGAAAGTGATCATATAACAACGAAAAGGTTGTGTCAACGGCATAGAACAAGTGTTTTATTCAATAAATAAGTGTTTACAACTCAACTTGTTTTCAAAATACTCGTTTATATATTACGTTTTAAGCTAAACTAGAGTTATTATCCACATAGTTAAACAGTAGCTAAGAAACAAGCTTTGAAACTTCAGATCAGTTTTGTTAAAAAAGTAAAACTTTCTCATTACTAAACTACTTGTTCTCTACATCTTTAGAGTTTTGTATTTGTCATTTATAATTCACCAGCTGTGTTAAAAACTGTTTCATCAATTGGCTCTATACTCAGAAACTTAATCAAATGTTACACAATAAAGCTAAATAAAATAGATGAAAACTGTCATAGTTTGACATTTAATGATTGAACAAAATTATTTCGGTATGTACGTAAATCATCAAATTGAAAATTCAATATTGATGCGGTTAATTGACATATTCTTGAAATATTTCTAATCATATATTCCAAGATTAAAAACCCAAAGTTATCATTCAACATACCTATCATATAAATATACGCATATATATATGCGCACTATATTCTCAAATCATTGAGGATTTCTAATATCTAACAATTCAGTCCAACTTTAGTATGTAAGAGATAAATAGAAAATATGGCCCTATAAAAGTAAGAATGTACTAACTCACTCAAACAACACGATAGCTCTAATTTGATTTGATTTTTTCTAAAGTTAACATCAAATGGCTCCAAATACATTTTTTTTTCTTTTAAAAAGAAACAAAAATCTCATAAAACCAAATTTTGTTGTTGTCAGATTTTCACTTTTTATCAACAGATAGTGACATTTTCATTCAATTAAAAAAAAGTAATAATGAAATGTAATTCATCAGAAATGATTAATAATCGCTATCTGTTAATTGATTAAACCATAGAGACCAAGTTGACAACTGATATGTATATTTTTTAATTTTCACTTTTTATTTTACCGCCCCCCCCACTAAAAAACTATTAATTTTCATCAGAAATAAAATTTAAGTATTTAAATTCTAATTCTAAATAGAGTAAGAACAAAGATTCTAGCAGAATAGTATGAATATATAAATAATATATTTATTTATACCAATCTACCCAATGCTCAATTTATTCGAAATTTCCCAGATTGAAATCATGAGTGAATTGAAGCTAGACCACCATGGAAAAACTGGAAGCACTGGACGGCTGTTTCGTCCCAGTATGGGACCCCTCAGCAGAGAGCATCCACAAACTCCTGATAATAACCACTGCTCACTAGTGACTGACACCAAGAGATACTCCTGGAGTTCTAGTGGGAAGCCGTTACCAGTGGAGTTCAACAAGGTCTGTTGTGAGATATCAGCTCACTGAAGACAATGATGTACGGTAGCGAAACGTCGTGGATTGGTTGAAAATAGACATTACCACCGTTGGATGCCGGCTCAGTGGTCTAGTTGTTAAGCGCTTGGCACGAAACTGAGAGGTCCTGGATTCGAATGTTTCGGGATGCGCCCTGCTGAGGAGTCCCATACTAGGACGAAACGGCCGTCCAGTGCTTCCAGGTTTTCCATTGTGGTCTAGCTTCAATCGACTCATGATTTCAATCTGTGAAATTTCTAAAATCTCCACAAACCCCTTCTGATATTATTCGAAATTGTCAAATCAAACCTTGGTAATGATACCTACAGAATAGTATGAATTCATTTTATGTCGTTGGTTCTCGTCAGCTGCTTAAAACCTGAGATATTTAAAAACCATAATTGCACAATGGGTTTAAACTACTTACATGAGAGGGTCTAGTTGGACGTTATGTTGAAGATATATTAGTATAATATAGCAAGGGTATAAATAAATTTAATAGACTGAATATTGTAAGTATTTATGAGGTAACAAACTGGTATATTCTAAAGTATATGCATTGGAATAACAGAAATTTGGTTAAATAAGTTCATTTCTGAGCATATTATAAAATAACACCCCAACTTTAAATCTTCAATAATACATTCATACAACATTTTATATTGTCATACCGTCTATGTTTTAAAACTGTTTAAAGTGATGAGCAACTAAATTAGGATGAGTTTTTAAAGTGTTACAGAAGCAAGATTTTTATTTAAACATCAGGGTTTACACATCATTGTCAGCATAAAGTTCCAAGAATAGGATATAGTTTGTGTTGATACGTTTGTCTAGAAATATAATGAGAGATTCAAGATTATATTATTTAACCCAGAGAATATCATACTATCGAAATCTACCTACCTATTTGAACATGTTTTGTAAATAAGTCAACATGAGGAGTGAAAACAAAAACTTAAGAAACTATTTTCTGGTTACTTGCTTGAATTTGAAAGTATTAGTTTAATGCAAACATACGTCGAACCTGATAAATTTTTAACCCCTTACAATTTGAAGATAATGTCAGTGATTCGTATATTTATTTATGTTATAGTTAAACTACTTTAAAATTTGAAAAAAGAAGTAAATATTGATAAATCGGATCGTAATGCAGCTATGCTTTTAGTGTTTTAACTCCATGACATATAAACAGTTCATACCATGTTGAAACAGCAATAAATCTAGTAAGACAGTTACTTTTTGTGCTATTAAGTATGAATATATATTTAGTAATGAAACTCGAGGTCGTCTAAGACAAAACTTTACTATTTTAATTCTATGACAATATCAAATTACTAAGAAAAGGAGAATTTTTTTAGGACGGACCTTATGAAAATATCAGAGAAAATAAATGTCTAATCATACTGAACAAAGTTAATGCTAAAGTTTCTGGAGACGAGATTAGGAAATTATAGTTGCCATTTTTAGTCTATAATGTTGAAGTTTGTGTAGATTTTTCGTATTACTAATTAACCACAACATGAATGCGCTACCAAACTAACTATGTAGATTCGCAGGCGGATAATGTCTTCAATATCAATTTGTAATCTTACAGCTCTTAAATAAATTAATGTACGGAATCAAATATTCGACTGAAGTTAAAAACGCTATTACTGCTATCTATCTGTAAGAAGATTAAACAGTGACAAGTTTTGAATTTTGTGTAATATTTAAAAATATACCTATTGAGAAATGCCTAGATGTTACATTAGAGTGTTTAGAATCTGACGTGAACTTGGAAATGTATTGTCTGTTGTAACTCATTCAAATTATTAAAACGTTAAGTCATGCTTACATTCCACTTTGTTCATTTTAAAGAAAGTTTATACTGGTAAACAAAAGAATTATCAGTGTAGTTTTCAGCTTCCTCGATTGATGCGAACTTGTTCATGCATTTGATGTACCGAAGATTAATCTGAAAATATATTTTTTTTCAACAAAGATGTCTAGTTATAGTGTCCGGATAATGCCTTTATTAATACGGAATGAAAATGATTAAAAAAAGCGTTCAGAACAATGTCAACAGCATATCATATAGCATCAGGTTTATCAAGAAGATTAATTCTGTCGACCGTAATCTAGTACTTCACGACTGTCTGTTTTAAAGAAAACAGTATCAGAAGGCGTTTTATGGAGATTGTAGTAATTTCAACAGTTGAGATCATGATTTAGTTGAAGCTAGATCACCATGGAGAACTAGAAAGCACTGAGCAGCCGTTTCGTCCTATTGTGGGACTCCTCAGCAGTCCGCATCCACGGCCCCGCCTTGAGGGATTCAAACCCAAGACCTAACAGTCTCGCGCCAGGCGCTTAACCAACTTGGCTACTGAGTCTCATCCAACGGTGTTAATGCCTAACTAATGTCTAGCTAATGTTTAACAAGAGGACGAAACGGCCGTCCAGTTCTTCCAGGTTTCCCATGGTGGTCTAGCTTCAATTGACTCATGATCTCAACTGTTGAAAAAAGGATCATTACATAAAATCAGTAAGTTCCGAAATCGAAGATAATCATAGAGATATCTAGTTTAGAACTCAGCATATATATAATAGGCGGTAAGGATCTGATAGACAGAGTTTTATAACTTGGCACGGATGGCATAGAGGTTTTACTCAATTTAAACCTGACTTTATGAGTATGTATGATTACCCTGAATACTGTATTTAAAAGACTATTAAGAAAATAAGGGAAAAAAGAGGTTCATTCAAGGATTAAGTCAACTCTATCGTTATTCCTCCACTACATGAAATGAAGTACGAGCAACCCTAAATAAACATGAAATAAAGACATTTTTTCGAATGAATAATATTCCTACTTATTTATTATTAATAGTCAAAAATACAATGCCAAATAAAACAACAAGGATTCTGGTTGGGAAACTTAATTTAATGGCCTTAGTGTCATATATCTGGGCGAGACATTAGAAATGTTAAATGAAAGAGTGACGAAACAAACTCTGTTTAAAGCACATTGCTATACATTTTGAATACTCTAAAAGTTTGGAAACACATCGACGATAGCACTAGGTATGGTAGCAACCGAACACAATCAACTTTGATAGAATCAGAATCCTTCATAACGTATTCTGATTCTTTTACTGAATATCTGACCGACGAATTACAATATAACTGAGTGAATCCAAAAAAAACTCAAACAAATAAATTCGAATGCAAGTAATTGCAACACTAGAATTTATCTTTCATTCCTATATCCCTCTTCAGCCTATGTAATTTAGACGACAGCTATATATGTTCAAATAATTGTTCCAAATAGCTTGTTTGAATATGTCTCTGATAATCTGTTCCAATATGTCTGCTCTCCTACCATTGACCTGTAAACTTCTTACACCAATCAAAAGCGTCATTTTGACCGGCCTATGAAATGCTTATTATCGGATTCATAATAGTAGAGAATTTGGTTGGTCAATATCAAATCCAGCCAACGTTATTATCTCCCATGTTTATTTTGAATAGTGAAATAGATATGATGTTCAGAGAGATGTTTGAAAATCGTTTAGTTCATAGTTGCTTATCAACTCCATTTGTATTCTGAAAAGAGCAAGGACAAAGATTCTAGCAGAATAGCATGAATTCATTTTATTTCGTAGGTTCTCATCAGCTGCTTACAACCTGTGATATTTAAAAATCATAATTACATAATGGGTTTAAATTGCTTACTGAATATTGTAAATATATACCTAAGTGAAAGAATATTCTACTACATTAATTGTGACACCAGTTCAAAAGTGGGTTAGAGACAATTGATTACATAATGAATAAACATTGATAGGAATATAGTGAGTAGAGTTCAGTTGAAAGATTATTCATTTGAAAGATAGTTGAAAAAATAAAATAACACCAATGATGTAATAAATGCAAAAGAAAGAAAAAAAGGGGAAAAAATTTAAGGTGCAGTGAAGGAATATTTGTCACCAGGGCAAGGAAAGATTAACCACCGTCTCCTTTTGAATACATAGATCAGGTTTTTGACGCTTGATGGCAATGGCTTCAGAAAACTTCGGAAAACTGGAGTTTGGCTGCTTGCTAATCACCCTAAAGGATTGTAAGGTATCTACCTGATGTCCTGTATCAAGGAGATGTTTGGTAATTGCACTGTTCACAGTCTTTCTTTCCCTTATTCTAAGATTTTTTGGAACATGTTAAAAAAATCTAAGATATGCTCTCCTTTCAGTTCGGCCGATGTAGCGGCTTTGGCAGGTACACGTAAATTTATAAATACAGTTGGCGGTAACATGAAAGGTTGCCTGTCGATCTTTGACTAGGTTATTGAACATGTTGTCTTATAGAGAGTTAAAAGTTTAGCAGCCGGATAAGTTCTGGCTAGAGCAGTGTTCAGTTTCCTGTTGATTATCTGTGCGACGTTATCACCTTTAAAGTTAAGATTTATATATACTGGCTTTTTATTGATCGTAGTTATTTCCGTCTTGTTTTCTTTGGGCTTTTTATTTTGTTAATAAACTTTTGTGGGTAAAAGTTGTCTTTTAGACATTTTTCTACGTTCAATAATTCTTCTTCCAGTTTGTCGTTATTAAATATCTTTTCAACCCTGTAAAATAGTGTTTTAACCAATGCCTTCTTGTAACTAATTGGACGAAAACTATTGAAATTCAGGTAGAGGCCATTCCAATTACTTTTTCTATAAACTGAACGTTGGACTGTCCCGTCTCCCCTGCGTTTTATGGCAGCATCAAGAAAGTGGAACATGTCGTTGTGTTCGTGCTCCATAGTGAAATGTATGTTAGTGTGAGCGTTATTAAGAAGTTTTAGCATGCTATTTATTGTTACAGATAATAAATTGTCGTCCACATATCTGGAGTATTCAGTTGTTTCACTAATTGCCTGCTTAAGTACCGTGTTTTCAAGATACCCCATAAAATATCTGCCATAATTGGACCTAGTGGGCTTCCCATTGCTACGCCATCGACTTGGCGATATATGGTGTTGTTAAATTGGAATTGAACATCTGTTGTACATATTAGTAGTAGTTTTTTGAATTCTGGGGCTGGTAAAGGTAGGAGATCATCATTCTTACAAATTATATCAATAGTTTCAAAAAGTGGTATATTTGTGAACAAGGATGTTACATCAAAACAGACCATGAACTTGTCGGTAACATTCGTATGATTTAGTCTATCAGCAAACTGGAACGAATCTCTTAGCGTATATGTTGCTAATCTACGACGAACCGGTTCTAGTTTTACTGCTAACCAGCGTGCGACTTTGTGATACGATGAGTTGATCATTGATAAGATGGGTCTAAGGGGAACGTCATGTTTGTGGACTTTTGGTAAACCATACATATGAGGTAGACGTGAACCACGTGGTCTTAGATCGTTGTAAATAGAATCATCAATCATTTTCTTTTTTAGGAGTTCTCTAAACATGCCTGTGACTCGTTTATCTGTTGAATCAGTCAAATCTTTTTGGGATTTATCTACCTTGGACCTCAGTTGATCGTCTAGGATTTACTTCATCTTAGCGACAGAATCAGCTATATTCATTAGGACGACACTTGAACCCTTATCCGGTTGTAAAATCATCACCTCATTATTTTGCTTGATGTTTCTTAGGGCTATTAGATGTTCTTTGGATAGAATATTCGATTTTGGTGTCGATGACACAAAGTATTGGTTGGCAATATCATCTAACTTTGATTTGAACCATCCTTTCTTTTCTTCATTCATTGGCTGCAAATCTTTTAACTGGTCAAACAGATTTCCGAATTGAGCTTCTGTATCAATCCTATCAATATTTGTTTTTGGTACATGAAATTTGAGTCCCAGTGATAAGGCTTCTGTTTCTATACTGTTAAGCTTCGTATTTGATAAGTTATAGATAAACGTCGAAGGGTTTTCCGGAAACCCTAGACATAGTTGTTCTTTTATCAGAGTTTTCGATAGAGATTTATGGAAATCATTGCAAACTTTGATTTGGAGATTACGGATAAAGTCCCTGAATTTTATTCGACATACGATGTTTAGATCATTAACAGCTTTAACAAAAGCACTGGCCTCAGTCCTTATTCGTGTAATGAGTAATTTTTTCGATTCAATATGAGATTTGGTAATGCGTTTTAGGTTTTTAAGCGATGGAAGAAGTTTACATAAACGTAAGGATTTTACAAACTGACGTGGGAAACAGCCCGACTGAATTAGCTCAAATCAAACTCAAAAACGTAATTATTTCTTATTTCGCTCACTGAGATTTTCAGAAATATCATTTCTATTTTCATAATATTATTTTTAGTGTAACTGTCGAAAGTTATCTGTGACACCCTTGACTAATTAATATGACTTTATTCTAAGTTTCCCATCAATTTATGTTATTCTACAGACTTCAAGTCACTAGAAATGGTGGCTTTACTACGTCTTGATTTACGAGCGCTAGGCAATAAGCAAATACTAAATACTGATTACGATTAATCCATGACTGAGGAATCATGATGGTTTCTGTTGCCAAATAATTGATGAATTGGTCCGATTCAACATACTTAGTCGTCTATTGAATTACTTCCAAATCAACCTTCGGCAATGTTTCATTCAATTGCGGTTATTAACGAAACATCTGTATTATGAATAATAACTAAACAATGTATTCTTTGAAAAACATTATTCAATCTAACAATGAATAGTCTTTATTCAACTACAAGTTCCCATAATACAGCAGCATCTTTTTTGACAGAACAAAATGTCTCAACTTACTTCAATCATTTTCTCGTCTAGATTGTATGTTTCAACATAATTCTTTAAATCCTTCATACTGATTTTTTCATCATGATCAAGATCAACTGCAAAAAATGCATGTAAAAATGGATCCATCAAAATGAACAAAAATTCACTGTGAATTAGGTAAATGTGTTTTAAATGATTGAATCAATTTATATGTTGCTAATTCGTATTTATACTGCAATATTGTTGACTGATATATATCAGTTCATATCACATTATGATTGATTTTATAAATTGAAGATGTCGGAATGACAATACTTAATGTTGTTGGTTTTGTTCAACGCCTATTGGAATATGAAAATATGATACATGATTATTCTAGTATAGGCATGCACATGTATCATGAAATGATGCAAGTATTTACACATACATTCATATATACACACGTATAGATAGTAAATAATGAGTATGAAAAATGTTGACTTAATAAAGAAAATAAATTACCCGATTATGTCTAGAAAAATAATCTTTAAGCGTATTCGGAAACACATCATTAGGACATCACTAAATAAAAATGAATTCAGAAGATAATGTTTAGCACAGTCTAGGCATAGGTTAGTGAATCGTCCAAAATCAATCAGTCTTGAATAATAATTTTTCCTAAATGATGCAGAATATTTATAGATCAAAATGACAATATTTGAGGTGATGTATTCTTTGAGTTGAATCGTTTAACCGTGAATCTTTAATTGTCTTTCTAGAGAATATCATCAGTATATTATTTAAAGGTATATCAGATCATTGTTTCTGGTTATTATTTGTAACTAATGATCATCCTCGAGCTGGAATGAATTGATTTTTTTGTTATAAATATTTTTGTTTTCAATTTATTAAGTTCAAATGTAATGGCTCAGCTAAGTAGATAAATTCCATTTTGAGGTAATGGAATATAAGCAATCTATTAACTTGATGATGAAGTTCAGTTTCCAAATTAGCAATACTGCATGAACATCAGTGACCAGAAACATGAATTATATATATATATATATATATATATATATATATATATATATATATATATATTATATATATATATATATATATATATATATATATATAACTGCATAAATTATATTCTGGAAATAATTACACAATGCGTGACAGTCTACGTACATACTGTGGTTGACACAGAAAGAGATGAATCAAGTAATAAATAAATCGTTTTAAAAATGTGGTTCGTAAGTTATTTCCAACGGACATTATTCGCAAGAATTATAATAATGTGAAGCGGCAGTTGAGAAACTGTAATTCTTAGTAGAAGGGACAGGACACTCTGTTGAAGTATGAATCATTTATCGGAGAGTGATTCCGTTAAGATAATAGAGTAGTTATGATCATCCATAACTAGAGAGAAACTGAATACACAGTATGAACAATCGTTGCCGTGATAGGTCAGCAGTTATACAATTTGTAGGTTGTTTTAGAACCCATTGACTCGTTTAGATATTACAACAGATATATGAACGATGGATATTCTTTTCAACAGATTCTCTTTAGGTTCTACAAATATATACACAAAGTAATAATCCGAAAAGTGGTCAGGTTTAGGGCAAAGTGAATCGTTTAGTTATAGAATGTGAATTTAGAATCGTTAAACAAAATAGAATAAAATTGTTAATGTCTCGATGATTAGAATGTAAAGTTAACTTGAATCAGCTTATACGTCATTTTGTAAGATTCGTGATCAGAATAAATAAGGGTCAGATAGGGTGAGAGAAATAAGAATGCAATTACAATTCGATCAAATGTTTATTGGAGGACTATATTATGTAAAAATTATGAGTAAGACATAATAAGGTGGGGTGAATGTGAAGTAAATGAATCATGTATTGGGGAAATTCATAATGATGTTGAACCAATAATAATAACGATACTACTAACAATACAAAAATACCTAAATAAAGAGAACGGAGACATCTGTATTTGACTAAGAAAGGCTACAATTACTTTAGTTAAATTAGATCATTCAATAGCTAAGATTACCATGGATTTATTAGCCCTGAAGTTGACCAGGTTGGCAAAAGCGGTTGAAGGTATTTCTTTTGTACACATGGCTAATGCTTCCACCGTTTGAAGTAATTTGAGTGTATTCAGATATTATTTAAATTAATCTAACTGGCCAGGCACAGTTTAAGTGCATATACACATATCGACAAACCACTTATTCCACTATCTATTCAACATTATCTTCATAGTTTATTGTTGTACTACGAGAAGTATGGATTATGTTGTAACGGGTGGACTGCAGGTTAGATGCGCAGCGTTTTTTTGATCGATTCAGTGACACGGAAAACACGTAAGGACGACCTAGAGTCTCGATTGGTCCCGCTTCCCTGTCTAGCCCAGCCAGTAGAGTCCAGAACGCAAGTCACAGCCTCTGAGATATGAATCGTTATATTTCAAACATACTCTGTTTATATAACAACCAAACAGACCACAGATTAATTTAATATCACGTGGTTTGAAACAGTTCTTCTTCAACGTAATATTTCTTCTGAATATAAATCTATATGAACGTAGCTTACAAATATTTCTACATAAACGTCATTGTATCACTGTACTTATCTGCTGAGTTAAAGATTTTATAATAAGATTTACTGTCTTACTTGAAACCTGACACTACTACTTACTTAATCTAATCTTGGCAAAACAAAGAGTTTAAATCTTGAAACTGATAAACCATAGATTTCATTTGGATGATCGAGTACTTGTTATGAAAATATGTACATTACTGAAAATTATACAAATATTAAGTGAGGCTAAAAAATGCACACAAATATACTGGTGTTGCATACGCATGATGAGGTTTATTACACTTTACGCTATGTTTTTTAACGAAATCATCAAAACAAGTTAATCAACAGATTAACTAGGGAAAAACAATGACTCATCAAAAGATTATAATTATTCAAGTGAAGCTATATAACTTGATTAAGTTGGAGTTTTGTTCTCTGAGCTGGATAGTTTGGTCGCGAGGCTTTCATTGTTTTTCTCAAGAACATAATCAGCACAAACTTCGGGTAGAAGTCACACAATTTGTCACTAAATTAAACCCATAAACAAAATTCTACATCCACGTGAGCTACAAATCTTCTCTAGCATCTCATATAACTTGAAGTAAACAATTATTCTAAATGATTTGTAAATTTTAGCTACTTACATTTTAAGTAATCATAAGAATTCAGGTTTAATTTCTTGATCTGTTTTTGTTAACTGCTTTGAAGTAAAACAAAACAAAATAATTTGTAACCTTACTATTTAGCCGTTAAACGAGATTTACTATTTTATTTCATACTAAGAATTATACCAGAAAAGGTTTCGTTGAGATTGTAGTAATTGCATTAGTTGAGATCATGAGTCAATTGAAGCTAGACCACCATGGAAAACTTGGAAGCACTGAACGACCGTTTCGTTCTATTATGGGACTCCTCAGCAGTGCGCATCCACGACCCAGGATCTATCAGTTTCACACGCAAACCCTTAATCTGCATTTAGCATTTCATTAAAGAGAATCCCAATATTATTTAGCTTGGCGAAGCTAAATCAATAAATACTAAGGTTTTAAGTATTCCTTATCAAACTGGAAAATTCAATTCAATATTAATACTGGATGGAAATTGGATACTTTACACAGCTATTTCTGTTGTATGCTGAGGTACTAATAACTTCACATATTAATATATATTAATAAATTTCAGATTCCAATGTTCTTTTTCATTTATTTTATCAAAATTAATGCGTCCGTTTTCTCCAAATCGATTGAAATTATCACTTCGCTTTTATATTACCAACCTGATACTTGATATTTTGAGTGATAGTAATCCATTGTGCAATCCTGAGATTGAGACCTGTCCAATAACGTTTTTCGATATATCAAACAACAGAGCACTGATAATTCTACAAAGTAATTTAACTACAAATAGTGTTATTGAAACTCTCTGAACCTCAGAAGTAATTGTCAGGAAACTCAAAAGACTTAGATTTCTTTACGGTTGACGATTATCAAGACTAATTATTACCAATCTATGTGGAGCAAATGTTCCTCGAAACGTTGAAACTTAGATTACTGAAATCAAAAAAATCTAACAGCTAGTTATTCCGATAGTAACTAATTTCTTATAAAACAATTTTGTCTAAACTAATTGGTTACTAAGCATTATCCAATGTCTTATATTATTTAGTTTTTAACAATGATTGTAATCTTTCATTTAACTTGTACTGTGTATACTAGCCTACATGATTCAATATTGAAGTTGTTATTAGATAAAGTAACAATAAATGCGAAATGCGTTTTCTTTCAAAGAAGTACACAATATATAATTACTTGAAGAATCCAAGTAAACTGTTTTACATTCTAAGTGTATACTGCCAAGAAGATCGAAACATCCAAAGTTAATAGGCGAAGTTCATTAAAAGTTTATAAAAAAAGATAAAGTAACAAAATAATATAGTTTTGTTTTGATTCGAAATCGAAATAAAATATACTGCCATAGTATTCCTTCATTCATTTGTACGATAAATGATGAATGAATGCTGGTTGATTTTAAAATGAAATGACCAATTTGGAATATGAGTATAAGTTGTCCAATATGAACCTCTGACAATAGTCACATGCCAATGACGACCATATGTTGTGTCAAGCCATCTTTTAAGTTTTTCTGAAGCTTCTTTTTCTATAAATTTATCTTGTGGTTGAGTAAGTCTATAAGCTTCTTCTGATATTTTGATTTGATCTTGTAATGGTAGTTCTTGCATAATTACAAAGATTTCAGGTCGTAGACCTGTTGTAGGTATTCCGTACAATGGTTTGCTGATTACAGCTTGACTAAAAAATATAAAGGTATTGAGATTATAACGTTTGATTTCAAAAAAACAAAATGATTGAAAACTCCATATAAAGAAATGAAGTACTTCGACGTAATCATTATGAAATTAATTTTTATTCGAGTTTCTTTTATCAAATATAAAAATGACTTTATTTACTAACCAACAGGATGTAGGGGACCTTTAAAAAACCGAATAACACTAGTCTCGTCTTAGCTCAAATCTGTTAATCAGTTTGAACCAATGACCCGAATAGAGAACATTCC